TTTTTTTGTCATTTTAATAGCTTCAAAATGTTTTTAACTGGGCTGATGCTACTCGAGCATCAGAACTATAAAATAGAATAACTGACAAATATAGCTTACGTCATTTCTAATTTGCTATTGTCTGCCGATTGCTGCTTTTTGAAAAAACAACAGAGTTTCATTTCTTCTTTAATAGCACTTAAAAATAAGTTTCTTTTTGGTATTAGCTGAAATTCTGAAGCATTCAGCTGCATATTTTTAAGATTGAAAAAACATGGCGTCCAGCAAAATGTCCTCGCGCTGCAAAGAGAAAAGATTTTGTAACATTCCATTATAAGGCGTTCACAGAAGCAGGTAAAAAATATGATCAAACTTATGGAAGAGATCCAATTCGAATGCAACTTGGAGTTGGAATGGCAATGCCAGGCTTGGATAAGGGTCTTAAAGGCATGTGCGACACTGAACTAAGGAAACTTCACATTCCATACAGGCTTAGCAGGAAGAAGAAGAGCAGAGGTAATATCTTCTGTTTCCAAATTTTCATTTCTTTATCATTTTTTAATTACGAACAACCAAATCTTCTATTCTTTTTCGCTCCAAATACTTTGTTTTATAAATTTTCACAGTTTGGAAGAATATTTTGAACGACGAACATTGGCTAGTTTTCAATATTGAAATGTTGTTGGTCGAGCCTTGGACTATTAATGGCCAATTTCAATTTCTTGACTTGAATAACGACACCTATCTTACTCAGGACGAGGTTTCTTTTAAATCTTCTAAATTTACTCATATTGTAAGATTTTGATTTTGTGGACTTGTCTTTATTGCTTATGTGTTTCTTTGTTGTCTTTTATAAGTCAGCCATACAAACTTTTATTCATCACTCAGTTTTCCCAATTGATTACTAAGGTCGTAATTTAGCTTGTCAAATTCCAAGAAAAGATGAAGAAAGATTTTGGCAAAACTTGGAGTAATCAAGACATTGACCTTGTTGATGCAGCCAAGTACTATATCAAGTATGCAGATATTTTGCTTTTTTGTAGCTGAGCTTTAAAATTTGCGAAACTCAACACTTTTGAAAATTTTATGAGGAAAAAGAATAAACACTATATTTTTTCTGATTAACTTGTATTGCGATAACTAAGGAGATAGTCTTTGCTTCGGATAATTAGTTATGCAGTATTTCTACACTCAATTTAGAATTCCAGCAGTAATTGTAGTTTGAGAACCTCGTAAGCTGTTTCTTGAGTTGTGCTTTTTTTGTAACAAAAATTATTGTTTTTTTAGATATTTTGATGCAGACGGCGATGAAAAGGTTAATGTCAAAGAATTTCGAGCAGTCTTTGAACGTGACATGGCATCTATGGCCAGTCACGCGAAGGAGAAGAAACCAGAAGGACGTAGGCGAGACCCAGGAATAGGATGGATACTTGATTTTAACAACGATGGAGTTGTTTCCATTGAGGTATTTGAAGAATATTTTTTGCTAGACACTTAGATTAGTTTCAGATCTAATTAAATTAGGAATATTACTAAAAGTTATACTTTGACAAAACAACACCAAGTCATCGTTTGAGTCGAAATCAAAAAGTGAAGAATTTTGTGACCCGTTTGACAACACTACTAATTAAGTTGAAACTAAATCGAATTTTGCCGAAAATAGGCTAAAAAATACAGTTTTATTGCTTTTTGCTGATTATAGGAAAACATTCAAGCTGATGAAGTACTGAAAGGTAAACCATCAATTGCACCACCAGTTGTCAAAGATGAACTATAAATTTACCGAGTAATGACTTCACCGAATGAAGTGACTGCAAAGCTTAAGAAATAATAGCATATTTCTTTGTGTCGCCCTCGATGAACCAGTTTTCCGGTCGTTTTTTGGGTTTGTTTCTTCTTCATTTGTTAGACTGAATTATTTGCTGTTGAGAGTTGTTAGTCTTGTAAGCAAATGATGGTCAATTTTATACTATTTATGGTCGTCATTTGTTTTTTTTTTTCTTGTTTTTATTTTACCAAAGAAATTATTATGAAAAAATAAAAGAAAAGAACAGTTTTGTAACGAAAGGGAGTTTCAAAAGCTTACCACCGATATTTTACAGTTGTCACTTACTGTACATTAGCTAAATTTTAAAAACATCCCATGACAGTAATTTGAGGGAGCAGTATTGATGTGATTTAAATTGTGCCGGTCAAATTTGGGCAGATATTTTTTTAGCTCTGATAATTTGTTTTAAGATTTTTCAATAAAAAATATTTTAATAAAACAACTTTGTCGGATAACAGATTCTTGAAAACTGAATAAAGAGACTGTAACAGAAGTTCAACGTCATTAAAACAATTTAAACGTCGGTCATTTTAGAATTGCACATTTGTTAGCCATCTCTTTGCTTAGCAAAAAATTAACCAATGATAAATGGATGGTTTTTCCTTTCACACTTTTTTTTTTGAGCAATAATTAAACAGAACAGACTTATAGTTGGAAACTCATTAAGGAAAAAAAAATCTAAATCAACTTTTTTTTTTTCTCTAACTTAATAATTAGT